GGCAGTATTTTGTGGTTACAGGTTTTAGGTCGTTATGTCCTCTCTCAGGTTTCTCTCTGGCCAGACTCCTTATTATAGGGTCTTTAGTTTGCAGTACTTTATATATCTAGTGACTTTAGTGGATATTGTATGTAATTGATATCTTCATTTTTAGAGGGCGGTAGTGCGCAAAGTATTTAGCTTATTTGGCTATATAACTATGGACTTTATATTTAATGAATTTAATAACAGGTAAAAGACTTTTATGTCCTCTCTCACAATCAGATTTCTCTCTTATATCTCAAGAGTGAGGACAAAATACACCTATCCTGTAACCACCGTCATGGAGTTAACATCACTTTGACACCGAGCGCTGATTGGTTTAAAATAGGTGATGGGGGTAATATTTACCACCATAATCGATTTTTCACCAATCAGCATTCAGTATCAGAACGCCGATCACCGCCGATGCCTGTATGAGGGTTTGGGTTAATTCTTGTGAATACTGTGTAAATTTTTAGACTAGAATATTTTCAGTCAGATCTATTAAGGTTTCGAAGTTTATCTTAAAAACTAGTCCGATAGCGGATTCTTTGTCGTAAATACTGATCGAGTAGGCAACGAATATGGCATCGACTAAGGTCGACTGGGGGCAGCACGCCGATGAACAGGATAAATTGGCGTTGAAGGTAAAACGGGATTGTTGCAGATACGCTACAACGGTGTAAGCGTGATTCTTTTGATGTTTACGATATTCATTTCATGAATCATATGGAATCATTACTATTGGCGGTTTTATGACTCACCTAGATTTATAACGTCGTTTTGTTTTTATTCTCTTCTGTACATATAATTTTCATACGGTTGATCTCGCTTGTTGACACACGCTATGCCTGAAAAAAGAGAATATGTAAGCTTCAATTTAGAACCATTGTTTCAAACTGATGTAACAAGTTCATTGATCGTATGTCTCGTGTATAGGTAACCGGTTTGGACTTGGATAAATCGAATTCGACATCCATTCCTACTTCATCTGTGAAAGATGGAGACATCAAGAGTGATGACGATACGTCAGAAGAACAGATTTCACCAGCAGAGAAGTCTCTCCTACAAAAGATCATAAGGAAAGGATTGGTAGAAACAACAAAGGATTTAGAGATTCAAAGAAAAGATCCAAATTCTCCATTATACAGTGTCAAAACCTTTGATGCACTTCATCTGTAAATAATTACATATATATGTACATTTTAATTAACTTTTAATTGTTACAAGCAGATCTGATTTAAATCAATGCTGTCTCTGTAGTATACATAATTCTGAGCATTGACTCGGTGTGTATATATATATGTATAAAATATTCATAGACACAAATGTCTATATATATATATATATATGTATATATACATATATATATACATATATGCCGACATTTGTGTCTATGAATATTACCTTTTTTTTCTTATCTTCATTAAGAAAGGCAAAGGTAATAAATGTAAACACTGATACACATCATATCAATGACCAAAATTATAGGTCTTAAATAGCATTGATTTAGATCCATCCATTTTAGTTATTATTATTATTGTTTTCTATTTCTCGATACAAGTTCAGACAAGCATGATTCTTATTTCTTTGTAGTATTCAATGAGTAACAAAGATAAGATGACACTTGTGTCACCAACTGGCAAGCATTCAGTAATTAGGATATAATTTATTATATGTGTGATGACATATGTATACTTAAGTTAAAAATATTTTTATTTTGAATATAGCAAACCTGCCTTACTAAAAGGTGTTTATGCCATGGGATTCAATGCACCCTCTAGAATTCAAGAAACTGCTTTACCTACTTTACTCGCTGATCCGTAAGTATTTATCAGTATTATAATTTAAAATGGACTTTGGTGGTTCGAGATAAGAGACTTGTAGTGTCTCTCAGTTTTTGAACTTGGCCAGAGACACTACCGCGTCTCCTGATATTTTCAATATTCTTGACTTTTTTTAAGGGAAGACAGCTTTCAAATTTGCTTGAAAATTTTTTCAGACCACAAAATATGATTGCACAATCTCAGTCTGGAACGGGTAAGACAGCAGCATTTGTACTCGCTATGTTGAGTCGAGTGAATGTTACAGAGAATTACCCACAGGTTCTTTGTTTGTCGCCAACTTATGAATTAGCAATCCAAACTGGCGAAGTAGCGGCAAAGATGTCGCGCTTCTGTCCTGAGATAAAAATAAAATACGCTGTAAGAGGAGAAGAAAGTAATATATCGTTCTTTTGTGCTATTTGAATTTCCTGTTAAAAAAAAGTTATTTTCTAGGATTAACATTGTTTTAATTATTTCAGTAAGTCGTGGTTCAAAGATTGCTGAACATATTATTATAGGAACTCCAGGCAAAGTACTAGATTGGGGACAAAAGTTCAAGTTCTTTGATCTAAGCCAAATATCGGTATTTGTATTAGACGAAGCTGACGTTATGATCGCTACGCAAGGTCATCAAGATCAGTGTATACGTATTCACAAGTAATTTTTTTGATAATATTTATGTGATTGAATATGTTCATATGTGCAAAATATTATTTATATTTATTTCATCAATAGATTACTGCCACGTACGTGTCAAATGATGTTCTTTTCTGCGACATACGAGCCGGAAGTGATGAACTTTGCAGAGATTATAGTCAGTAATCCACTAATAATACGGCTATTAAGGGAAGAAGAAAGTTTAGATAATATCAAGCAGTATTATATTAGATGCAAAAATGTGGATGAGAAATACACAGCTATCACTAATATTTATGGAGTGATTACTATTGGACAAGCGATTATTTTCTGTCATGTAAGATCGATTATATATTATTTAATAAATCCTACGGACATTTGTTAATACATCATTATTTTTTAGACAAAGAAAACAGCTAGTTGGTTAGCAGGAAAAATGACGAAAGACGGACATGCGGTAGCAATATTATCTGGTGACTTAACAGTGGAACAAAGAATTTCTGTATTGGATAGATTTAGAGCTGGACTTGAAAAAGTTCTCATCACCACAAATGTCTTAGCTAGAGGTAAATACAAGAAAAAGACTATTTTTATATTTTAATGAATTCTAAATCTCTTGTGTACAGTAAGAGTTGCTTCACACATTTTTTAACAATTCAGAGCTGAAATGTTTTTTTACAATTCTTGATTAATTCTTATGGGCCTTACGGTTACTGTTACGAAAAGTGTATTCGCCAGTTCTAATGGAATTTAACTAAAATAAAAGAGTATTCTTACAAGATCAAAAGTTTCGTAAATACAGTCTCTAAGTCGATGCTGTTCAGAAATATTTCTGAAACATAATAGTATATATATTATATTATTACTTTAATGATTATTATGTGATCCATTATAATATGATAGTTCTAAAATAGGCAAAATTGTGTTTTATGTAATACATTAGGTGATCGTTATTTTAACAATTTTGATTCAGACACTTAAAGTTTTTTGTTATTTCTATGATTTTTCCAACAAAGCTGTAACAAATTTTTTTTTCTTTATTTCGTTTTTTTTAAATAAAAATCTTCCATTCAAAATGAAATAATTTAGCTAAATCATTTTTATTCGTCCTGGGTTTGTTTTGAAAAGTCATACAGGAATCGATTTTATATAGTATAAAATTTGAAGATACATTTTAAGTTATGAAAAGAAAATCTGGAGTTTTTTAGTAAAGGTGTTTATATATATATATATTTTTTTTTTTAGTTTAAAAATGACTCGCGTGCAAAAACTAATAAATTTTATATTTAATTCGGTCAAAGCTTATAACATGTGGAAAAGATTTAGGAACAAGAATTTTACTTAATCTAAATGAAATCTATTATCTTTTGAAATATTATATACAAAAATATTTTAAAAATAATATTAAATTTTAATATTCTAATGGTACATGTTTATATTGTTCAGAAAGTCAGAAAAAATATTAATGTTTTTATATAACGGAAAACTTCAGGAGTCTCGAGAAAAATTCGAAAATTATTAAGAAACGACCCTAATATACATATAATTCATAAACTTTTACCTATGTTCAAGTAGGTATAGTAAAAGAAACGATAACATGTTGATAATATTGTACAATATTTTTGGCAGGCATTGATGTTGAACAAGTAACGATAGTAGTCAATTTTGATTTACCGATGGATCAAAAGCGGCAAGCCGATTGCGAAACATACTTACACAGAATCGGAAGAACGGGGCGATTCGGCAAGTCTGGGATCGCCATTAATTTAATTGATTCTGATCACGCTATGCAATTGTGCCAGAATATAGAAAAACATTTTGGCAAGAAAATCCATTACCTCGACGCAGAAGATGCAGATGAAATCGAGAAAATCGGAGCCTAGGCTAATATGGCTTTTTATCATGAATATATCTAGGCTTTAATATACTATTTTTTAAAGCGGACTTCTCTTTGTATTTTGAATATAAAATGAGATATTTTTTTTCCAACTGTATACCTGTACACTACAATACCGCTTTTCTCTATTGTATTTTTTCTTTCGCATCCATGTTTGGTGTATTTAATTGGGTCGAAATAAGATTAAAAATTGAAACTATTTATATGTTGCATATGCTGACTGCATGCATACGCTATCAATTCAGATTAATTAAAATTTTGTTCCACTTCAAATTTCTTTTACCAAAAAAAATTTGCGGAATTTTTTTTCAACTGCAAAATTTTTTTATAATATATCAAAACGCGCTCGATATACAGTCGAATACATCGAGTAAAATAATTCATGCAACAGGTTATGTTAAGAATTTAAACAGGGATTTTTCTTGTATGTAATATAATATAGAGAACAGAAAAGCATAATATAAAAATATTTTTTTATTACATTTGTCTTTTTAAGTAATCGCGCGTGATTTGATCAGCATGAATATCTTCTTGAATGTTTATAGTTTCAGAAAATAGCAATTTTAAGCTGTTCAAACATATTCTGAAAATATAAATATCGATAAATGGATATTTAAGATGATCATGGTGGAATAGGCCTCGAATAAGAATATAGTAGCAAATTCCTTGTATTATGATTAAAAAATTATTTCGGCATATTTTTATTAATTTCGGTAATTGTTTAAAAAACACAATATAATGTAGTAATATATTTATATCTATTCTAAATAAAAATTTTCGCTCTATCCTTATCAATCTTATTAATCATTTACTCACTTGCCACAATCTATGTAGCTTATAATATTAAGTATGGCATGGAGAGTAGATTGTAATTTTAATACATATTTATTCAGACGGAAAATAAATTTAACAATTACAAAATCATGAAAGCCTAAATAATTAACCTTCCATAACTAATATGCGCATACATAATTCATTTTTACATTTGCATCTTTAATGAACATTATAACTAGAAAACTGTATAAAATGTTGAACAAACTACTCATGTTTATAACTACATTTATGAAGCAACTGTAAATCTGAAATATCAGGAATATAACGATGAATAAAATTAAAAAATTATTGGTTGAATTTGTTAATTTATCATAATTGTATGTTCTGTATAAACACGTCAACAAGTTCGCCCGCGTAGTCTGACGCAGCGATTTTTTTCCATTGTTAAATGCATTTGTATTTGAAACACTTTTGTATGCACTATACAAATTAAATGAAATAAATCGAGCGATATATATCTTCATATAGATTTATAACATTACACATTCGTAAAACAAAATAAGTGAGAACGGCATTTCGAGAAAATGATTTCATACTACACGAGTGGTATTTATCGCTTGTAATATTTTGAAATAGAAATTGTACGAGATAATACAGATATCTCCTTTATTCCTCCTTATATCTCCTTATTTTGAACAGAATCGATGTTTAAAACTTTATAAGCAATGTAGCATAGTACAATTGCATTTCATTACAAACAAGAGTGCATCTCATGGGCTGTCTTTTTCTCAGTCTTTCTGTTTTGCACTTTTTACATCATGCCGCCCATACCACCCATACCACCCATTCCACCCATTCCGCCCATACCGCCCATAGGTGATTGCGGTTCCTCTTTAGGTATCTCGGTAACGACCGCTTCTGCCGTTGTCAACAATGATGCCACACCTGCAGCGTCCGTAAGTGCTGTTCTCACGACTTTCGTGGGATCGATGATGCCCTTTTCGATCATGTCGACGTACTCGTTGTTAAGGGCATCGTACCCGAGTTTGCCCTCGCTTACTTTTGCCACTACCACGCTGGCGTCAACGCCAGCGTTCTGTGCAATCTGCAAACACGGCATACGTAAAGCATTCGCTACGATGTTAATCCCAGTTTCTTGATCACCGTTCACAGCCTTTAGTTGTTGTAACATCGGTATACATCTTAACAATGCGGTGCCACCTGTAAAAAAAATGTTATATTATTTAATGTGTATGCGAGTTACGCGAAAACAAGCTGATGAAAATAAAAATTCACCTCCAGGAACGATTCCTTCCTCGACCGCGGCGCGAGTGGCGTTGAGCGCATCATGTACACGGTCCTTCTTTTCGTTAACTTCCACCTCACTGCTTCCGCCTACCCTTAGAACGGCGACACCTGACGCTAACCTCGCCAAACGTTCCTGCAGCTTCTCTTTTTCATAATCGGACGTGGTGTTTTCAATTTGATCCCTGATTTGATCAGCTCTTCTATCGATATCAATCTTTTTTCCCTTGCCTCTTAAGATGAGAGTATCGTCCTTTGTAATAATGATTTCTCCCACCTGACCCAAGTCGCTTAGCTAGGAAAAAAGTATTACATTCGTTAAAGTATCGCCGGTGAATGAGCTAAACAATTCAGTAGTAGAGCCTATAAAGCAACAAGTTCGGGTTTGATTCCCAGTTCTGCTATTACTTAACTCTATTATTCAGGTAGAAAAGATATTGTTCTATTATCAAAAAGTTAGACATTACAAGTTATAAATATAAATAAGGTCAAAGTTGAGGCGTCGAGTGGCTCACCGCTCGGTGCGATTGACTCGCGATCTGTAGATCCGAGTTCAATCCCACGTGCGCCCAAACGCGATTTTTCGCGTTTAATGAACTAAAAATGGCTCCACCTGGCGATCAAAAGATCTATGATCATCAGCCGTTCGGATTCGGCGTTAAATTGTAGGTCCTATAGATCAGTAGACATTTCTTTAATATCTGACTGAGGTAGGGATTTTGTGAATTAAATCACCCGCAAATCCGAAAACAACTTGATTCGAGAAACGAATATAGGCCTCGGATAAAAGTAGAAGAGGCCTGTAGACGTCTTATGCTCCACATGAGGAGATAAAGGGTCATCAAGGTCAAAGTTACTTGTAAAATAAATTTTAACTGAAGTAATGTGACTTCATATGAGAACAATAAACTCAACAAGTTGGCAGGTTTCGATCTTATTTGATACTATTAGATAGGATAGATACCTGGACGTCCTCTAATTTGATAAGATTGGCGTCATCACCAAACACAATGCCACCGGTGGATATCGCCATATCTTGAAGAGTGGCCTTCCTATTGTCACCAAATCCGGGAGCTTTAACCGCAGCCACTTGCAGGCCAATTTTCAGTCGATTAACAACGAGGGTCGATAGAGCCTCGCCATCAATATCCTCGGCGATTATGACAAGAGGTTTGCGTTGTGAATTCGCCAATTCCAAAGCAGGTATGATGCTTTGAACGGAAGAGATCTTTTTCTCGCTAAAGAGAAGGAGCACGTCTTGGAACTCGACCTTGGCTCCTTTACTGGAGTTGATAAAGTACGGAGAAATGTAACCTCTGTCGAACTTCATTCCTTCTATGACCTCTAGTTCGTCGATGAGCGTTTTACCATCTTTCACAGTGATCACACCTTCCTTCCCGACCTTCTTCATAGCGTCCGAGATCAAGTTGCCGACGGCTTTGTCGCCGTTAGCGGATATCGTCGCCACTTGGGCGATTTCTTCGGGTGTTGTAACGGGTTTGCTCAGAGTTTTTAATTCATCTTTGACTTTGTCTACTGCTAACATTACACCTACAGTCATAAATTGTTTAATGTTATCTCACAAATAGATATTCGTATTTTCATATTTTATAAAAATATATATAATAATGTGCATATATACATGGTTCATTGATTTATGTTGAAGCTTAGATCAAAGTTCAACATTTCCTAAACTCTCTAAAATATATATTTCAAGAAAAAAAAAAATTAAATACAAATGTTAAGTTTCCCAGAAAGCAGAAAAAAATTTTTTTGACAGAAAATTATTAACTAATCAAGTAATGTCAATAAAAAGAAAAGTATTTTTAATAATATTGCATTAAATGTAATTTTTGTTTTACCCTAAAAAAAACTTTCTGAATTGTGACAATTTCATGATTTATCTTATCTAGTATCTCATCGGTATAATTGGTGATGTTTACCTAACTAATTTGAGATAAGTAAAAAAATCTCGTTTTTTGAGTGTCACTTTTGAAGTAAGTGATATAAAGATGAACTGTTTACCATAGTACAAATTGGTCCACTTACCTCGTCTGATTTCTACAGGGTTGGCACCTTTGCTGATTTTTTCAAATCCTTCTTTGGCTATCGCTCTAGCTAATATGGTTGCGGTAGTGGTACCGTCTCCAGCTTCCTCATTGGTATTATTAGCTACATCCTGTACCAGCTTGGCTCCGATATTTTGAAATTTGTCCTTTAGTTCAATGCCCTTTGCTACAGTCACGCCGTCCTTTGTGATCTTTGGGCTTCCCCAGCTCTGCTCCAAAATAACATTGCGCCCTTTAGGGCCCATTGTTACGGCAACTGCATCTGCTAAGATATCTACACCTTGCAACATCAAGGCACGAACTTCAGCCCCAAAACGTACGTCTTTGGCATAAGTACGTGCCTGCAACTGACGTAGAGCAGTTCCTCTCAATATTGTAGGTAATCTATGCATCTGTAAAAAAAATATGTAATGTATGTTAGTTAAAGAATAATTTATTGTTTACTAATATATTTGTTACCATAACTTTCGTAAAAATGGACATATTTTAATTAACTGTTTTCAATCGATGGAGAATTGATTAAGAAACAAATTTATAATGCATAAAAATCAACAGAATTAACAAGTTTCGAGATATATAGGTTCAAAGAAAAAGTTCGGAAATGCTAAAAAAAAATCTTGATTTATAGTAAATTATACAAAGATTTTTGACCTAACTGTATAGCTAAAGTTAATCCTAATTTCTGATGCAATCATTAAAAGCACTTTTGATTTTCATATATTCCCTATCCATCATTATTTCAAACAAAAAGAAAAATATCACATATACAAATATAAAAAATATTCCAAAAATATATAAAAATGTATATATGCTATTTTTATGCAATATAAATTGAAGAAGGCTTCTCTAAACAGTCAATGAGTCAAGATGATTAATGGCACCCACATCCTATGCCTTGTTTTGTGAGCAATAAAATGTAAAAAAGATAATAAAAATTCTAGATTTATGTTCTTTCATTATATTTTTCCGACATTATTTGTAAATGTAAACCTTTCGTGATTTAACGAAACAAGTCTCGTTGAAAACTAAAGAGAAGTTACATGATCGCGATTTATCACGGATGACTGAAATGAATAGTATTCGACAGTGAGTTAGTTACTCCGGGAACGCGGTTATGTAAACCGTAAATGTCCCGCGTGGCGTGGCGGTTAAAGGTTAACGTTTAACAGAAATAATCGCGAGATCTGACTAAAAATCGTTCGACTGACTATTATACTTTCTCTCACACAAATTGTTTGTGCAGAAGAGAAAATAATATTCTGCCGAACGATCGCAATGAGAACGAGTGCAAGTGATACACCCGGCCGGCTAAAAATTAGTTCCGGCGAAGTTTCTCGAATTTCCCGGAGAAGCACGTGGCACGAATTCGCGGTTCAATCGCTTCACCTTTGATCCTTGGGGGAATTTTTTGATGAACGATCGATGATCGATGTTGGAAGCTGAGCGTGATGAAAATCGTTACGGCGTAATCCGTAATCGAACGCTGTCTTCGCTTATAAAAGACGAATAAGCAGGAACGAGGAGACGACGAACGTGTGATATCACATGGATGCAGCGGATTGGAGTGGATCGGAGTCGCAGGTCGGGGCCTCGGGGGGGGGGAGGAGAGGATTTTTCACGCATGCGCGACAGTGACTCATAGCGTATCGTATCGTATACGATTAGCTTAAATCCTCGTGCAAAGCAAACAATAGACCTGTTCTCTTTGGCTGAATTTATCTGTTTTCCTTTTCTCTCCTTTTATCCAGGAGAAGAGAAAAGGAAGAAAGATGAATTGGTGCAAAAATTCATTAAAAAAAAACAGACCTAATAGTTTTCCGGAACGCGGCAAAGTGCTGCGTGAAGTTGTCGCGTGGTGTACGTTCTTGAAGAACAGCGACTTCAGACGACTCGCGCAATTCTGCATGATGCAATCGGCCGGGTGCTCACAATCACCTTTTTTTTTTTACGCTCCTTTCGTTATCACATCATTACAGAATATATGCTTTTTTGGCATAAATATGCGTGGAGACGATTATTACTACAAGTTACAATTTCGACGAAGTTCATTCGGAATACAGCAAAAGAATCTTATTAATACCGCGAGTACACGCGGAATCATTCTACAATAAGTCTAACTGATAATAATCATTCTACAATTTATTACCCAAGTTTAATCCTTAAGAAATTTAATTCTTGATCTCTTATGTCCTCATCTAATTTACAACAAGTATTACAAAACGCAATTTCATGCAAGCATAAAGACAAATAAAAAAATTAATGATTTTTTCCCCTGATTCTACAATGAGTTGTTAATTGTATCTAGATAGCGTAGACGCAGCTATGATATATTCTAAGATTTCTAAGGATATTTTGAGGATATTCCTAGAAACGTTCCTCGGGTAAATTATTGTGCCGGGTAGCTGCGTTTTCACGAGTCTTCGCGCGTTCCACGTTACGTAACCGCTCCTTTTTTTCGTAGTCATAATCAATGCGTTCAGATAACTTTGACGCAAGGGGGAAAGAAGGGTGAAGACGGTGTTAGCAACCGAAGAGAGGAACTTTCGAGAATATCGCGTCGCGCGCGTGCGCGTACCGCTTCATTGCCGGTCTGCTCGCGGTTAGGTTACACAACGTGCACGAGTTCACGAGTGTGTGTTCGTCGCCGGTTTTGTACTTCGACCGATTCGGTAATTGTGAAGGAATCGTGATCATGGTGAGTTTATTTAATGTCGTATACACGTTTCTCTGTAGATTGTGAGAGAGAGAGAGGAACGACAGCGAGAATCCTTTTTCGCGGGGAAAATTCACGTGGCTGAGACACGCTGGGTTCCGTGATCATTTTCTGATAATCCTTAAATAGTAGACGCTTTTTATCCTCATTATGTACTCGCATACTGTTGTATTTCTCCGAAGTCACCGTTCGAAAGCAGATCGAAAGATGTTGCGTTGTTTCGCGTCGTATATTGCCGATCACTTCAAGACGAATTGCGTTTGTCAAGATAATAGACGAGGATATAATCAGTATCTCGACTGTAATTGTATTCTTGTCATTTGTTCGTAATAACTTTAATCTCTACACGAAATAATCGAATATGCAGGTATCTCATTAATTTTTTTCTATGAGAAACTCCGTTTATAACTTTCATCATCTTATATTTTTTCTTTGTCAAATTTTGTTATAGTCTCTTCAATTTACAAAAAGTTTGAAGATAACGGTTAAGTACACACAAGTCATTTGTGGTCAAATTAAATTTAACCACAAATTTTGTAAATTTAGTTAGGGTGAGTTAAAATTGATTTATTTTTGCTATCAAAGGAATTCCGTTGGTAACTTTCATTATCATATATTTCTTTTTCTGTCAAATTTAATGTACTTCATGAAAAAGTTTAGAGATGATCAAGTTACACATAAGCCAGCGTGGTCAAATTGGTAAATTTTATAAATTTAATTGTTAATTAAGTCAAAATGAACTATTAGATTAATTATTTCATTCTTGATATTAACACCTGAAGTTGAAATACATACAGTATTAGTAATTGAAAACATTTGTATTTTCAGGCTGCTGTCAATGCTGTGAAGAGGCTAATTCCTCTCTTTGACAGAGTCCTTGTACAAAGGGCTGAAGCTATTACTAAAACGAAAGGTGGTATTGTACTACCAGAGAAAGCTCAAGCAAAAGTCTTGCGAGGTACAGTTGTGGCCACAGGCCCTGGAGCGAGAAACAATGTATGTACAAGAATATTGTGTTTATATATTTTTTTAAATATTTCTCTAAATTAATTGTTAATTATATTATCTTTTCTTTATCATCAGAAAGGAGAGCATGTGCCATTAAGCATCAAGATCGGAGATGTTGTGTTACTTCCTGAATATGGTGGCACTAAAGTTGAACTTGAAGACAACAAGGAGTATCACTTGTTCCGCGAATCGGATATATTAGCCAAAGTAGAAGTTTAATTCGTTGAATTTAAGTTTCCAGTTTTGTAAATGCTACAAATTGTTCTTCTCGAACTTCATAAATTAGCAGCAAAAAATATGTACACAGTTTTACATATGTAATTAAAAGTTCTGTTTAACTTGATAAAAATACCTAATTTTTTCTATTGCTGCTAAAATGCTATTGTTTCTTACTGTATATAAAGTTTTTCTGATATAAAATAAAACGTTTGTCTATTATACTTAATTTGTTATTACTGTACACAATTTTATATATTATTAATGATTTGAATATGAGCAATTTTCAGACAGAATTTGAAAGTCCAATTTTTATGATATTTGAACGATTAATCTTAGAAATTATAGATTAATGAGAAAATATTAAATTAGAACACAAAATTATATATACATATAATATTTATATATTTCATAAAGTATTCATATGATTACTACATTGGATAAAATTATTCAGTTATTTTAATTTAATACCTTTCTTCACACCCGCTTTGATACCTGAGATCTCACCTGCATAACGAGTCAATTCCTTTCTCACTTCTCTCACCTATAAGAAATAATTTTTTCTTAAACTTCGTATAAAACATTCGAAAAACTTGTGTATGTCAGTAACAATGGTAAACGTTTAAACTTTAAGTGTAATTTGTACATACCGCGCCCTTTCTGCGAATTAGAGCTTTACGATACTTATTTCTGTGCTTCACTCGCGGATTGCGCAATTCCTTCTTGCGGTAAGGCGTGAGACCTCTGTTCTTTGCCATTTGATATGTTATCGCTCTCTTGGCATCTTCGTTCGCAGTATTCAAGATGGTATCATCTTTTTCATCAAATATAGATTTGCCATTGTATTCTTCTTCAGTATCTAGCTCTTCATCCAATCTTGTTTCTTCATTCGTACTATTAGATGATAACTTATCTTCTTGCATTACTGCTTTTCTTTTAGCTATCAGCTTTTTAGTCAAGTTAGTAAGTCTTGGAGTTTTCTTACTACTTTGTACTAGAGAACCATCTGATATGCTATAAAGAGGTCGGTTTTCTTTAACTGCTTTCAATATCTCTGTCACTTGCTCTAACAAATCTCCCTGCTCCGATTGCAATTCGTTGAGCAATTGATGATATTGCTCCAGACGCTTCACAACTGGATGCGTTTTTATTGGCAGCTCCTTTTCTTTCAGCATCAAACAAAATGAGATATTTGTGCAATAATTTAATATAGTTTTGTATTTAGTTCTAATAAAAGTTACTGCATTGCATTCAGGACATGTTCCATCTTTGACCAATTCAAGAAAGGGTGCTAAAATATTCTCTGCTTCCATCATGTATTCTGTAATAAAAACAATTATTCATTTTTCTTTTCAATACAATACCTATTTTTAATGATTTTACTAACATTTTTGTTTATGATTATATAAAAGAAATATAGTTATTTCAAGAAATATAGTTTTCATTTATAAAACAAAAAAATATTGTGTGGTTGTGAGTTTAATTTAATAATTAAAATTAATTATATCAAATTATATTATAAATGATAATAATTACTACAATTAATAATGAATTAGTAATAAAATATATATTTAAAATCATTATATGTGAAGTACCTTTATAAGTATTGACCATAATTACAAAAGATTCTTTGTCAGACACTTGTTTTATGTCCTCTTGAACAACTTCGTTATCCTTTATAACTTCAGCTATCATGTTTTTATTCAAATTTGAACCATCAAGAGCTAAGTGCTGTCCCATTGCTCTTAAATGCAACTTTTTTCCTTCTTCTTCTTCCATTTCAGCATTAATCAAATCTTTTTGAGGCGCTGATGCATAATCTGTATATTTAAAATCTGACGAGTAAAAAGCTTTTGCTTTGCTGCCCCAAGCTCTGTCGTTTGGCATATCATAATCTTCTTGTATCCCTTCAATGTCAGATTCCATTAAATCTTGCTGATCGTCTGATTCTTCCTCATTCTCATCTTCTAAACCAAGAACTTCATCATCGCTATCAAAATTTTCAGTAGTATGCTGTTTCCTTACTTTTTCTAGTAATTTTTTTTCAGTTTCTGTATATTCTTCTTCTGAATCTGTCACATTATTCATATTCACGTCTTCAATATCGTCTTCCATATCATCAACATCATCCTTAATGAGAGGTTTCCTTGTTCTAACATGGATAGAAAAAAATTCATAAATATAGAAATATTTTATTTTTATAAAATAGTATGAAATAAACACATGCAATCAAAATTAAAAGATTCTGGAGTACATTTCAAAACATCTTCTTTGAAGGAAACTACTTGTAAAATATATAATACACCTAACTATAAACTATATGCTATAGTATATAGTATAAAATCTTCCTTAAAAAGGATATTTTGGAATGTAGCCCTGATGTACAATTTTCAAAATATAAATATTAAAAAATAAAATTGACCCAACTTATTCTAATCTTTCAAACAGAATTGCTTAATATTGTATTCAACTTTTCATACTATAATGAAATTAATCAAACTTTATTCAAGGACATAGTCATCCTTTTAATTTAAACTTTATTCATAATTTTTTTTAACTATTACCTTTTTTTGCGAGCCATATTTGCAAATAATATAAAAGTGCTTCCAAGAGAGAAATATAGAATATTATTTCTAACAACACGAATGGTAACGTTTGTACACAGCAGTACACGTGCGGCATACAGATGAAGACCATGGCACATCAAAAAACTTGAGATGGAAGACTTATAAGCAGCAAACGAATAGACCAATCATATTACAGACTGTAAGACCATAAGTAGAGAGAAACTTGAGAGTGGATATACCGGCCTTTTTTGAGTATCAAATCTCAGAGGGTAACGTCCAGGATATAGTGGTTCTCTTCTATACTATTACGTGAGTGTTAGATAAGGACGAATATAATTAAAGTGGACTGGCGCGGGAGAGAGAGAAAATGAAATTTGATTATTTCAAATTTAGATTGTTTTCCTGTTTTAAAATAGATGTATAATAACGTATTTGAACACACCGCCTACTGCATTTATATTTTTTACAATATTTCTGATATAAGAAATTAACAACGACAGAATTAAATATAAAAAACTTAAATAAAAATTAAATTAAAGCAACATTTTTCGGAAATATTACACGTTTAACGCATAGCATGATTTGCATTTAATGTTACGGAGTCTATTGACGAGGGAGTTGCAATATCACTGGCTGGTTTCTTTCTTTTTCTGCGTCTTCTAACAGGTTGTAGAGCAACTATGCGCATATAGCTTAATTCCCGCTCTCTTCGGTGTTCTTCGATATTAATCTTGTTCAGGAAATAAGGACCGCTAGCCATTATGCCGATTGCTCCAAGTGGCGCTAGAAATACTATAGCAATTACGGATATCCTCACCACGTCGAGGGCTAATTCTATTTTTGTAAGGTCGCCTTCTTTTCTGGCACGCTCAAATGCCATCGGCGCTAATGCTGCCTAATTTTCGAAATATCAATATTCATCGAATTATTAATTTTATTAGATTTTCGATAGAGAATTTATTGCATAGAAAGATCTAAATTAAGAGGCCACTGTAGTGATTTTGTTACTCACTTCCCATACTTGTCGAAAACCCGATGTGAAGCCGGCTCCCCAATATTAAAAAATCGATTTTTTTTCTTCATGCATTCGTTTGTGCTCATCGTTTGCTCACGAATGCTCAGTTGGAATTTTCGTTTGCTCACCCTTAGTTCAAAAGATACAAGAAAATTAAGTTTTGGTATCGAATTAAAAAATAATTTTTTTTTTGGCATCCGTTTGCTCATCGTTTGCTCACAAATCTTTTGAACTAAGGGTGAGCAAACGAAAATTCAAATTGAGCATTCGTGAGCAAACGATGAGCAAACGAATGCATGAAGAAAAAAAATCGATTTTTTCATATTGGGTATATATATATATGATTATCTATTAAGTAATTATTATTGGACGCTCAAACTGATTGTTAGAACGTCACAACTTTTTGCATCATCATTATCATGCTTGAGCGTTCTACGCTCAAAAAATATATTATTGATCATTTATTTAGATAAATGTATTTATATTTTATATCTATATTTATATTTTTAGATCTGATCTAATTTTTATATACTTCAACAAAACCGTTTTTTTTCATGTGAAAATGAAAAAAAAAATTCTTTTTACCTGTAAAGTTCCTTTTGGTACCCAAGCTATGGCGATAAAGAGTCGTTCTTTCCACGTAAAAGGCATTCGTATCGTTGTTAAAAAAGCAGTAGTACTGCGCACCTAAACTTAGAAAATTGTATGCAATTTTTACAGCATTGTTAACTAATTATATTTATTTATGAGATAGATTTTTTCTCTGAGTACCGAAAACTAATTCAATTTTCATTTCTAGTTCGACATATGTAACTTACGGATATTCCTATGAGTACACAAGTGAGGTAAAGTCCGAATTTAGATACAGGCCAGTTTCTAAAATCAATATCGGCACCAATTACACCTCCTAAAATCGGTTGTACAAAATGCCATAGAAAATAAAACGCTCTGTGAAAAGGTGTTGCCTGTAACATAAAGAGAACAATTAAAAGAATATATTTCTTTTTATATACAGAATACCAACTTGAAGGAAATGTGCAGTATTGATGGTTGGTCACAAAAAGACCAACGCGGCATGGAACGTATTATTAAGAATGATAAGAACGTTCCAAGAAAAATTCTAAAAACACATTATATGTCTGTATAGAAAGAACAGTTTTGCTAAAACTTGAAGCGTTAATGTCGTAAAAAGTTTTAACAAAGCTGTAGCAATCAGTTTGTGAACGTTCTATATAGGAATTGTTTTGATGATCTCTAAAGAAAATAATTTTCAAAAATCTCTAGCTAAATTTTTAGACATTTTAGCCATTTATTTTTTGCATATAACATGTCTACTATTACTTACATCATACGAAATCGTTAAGATTCGCCAACCACGGATGGCTATGAATGATAATATAATAGCAGCGAGATATCCTCCACCTGTGACCGTCAATTTCGAGGCTGCTGTGGTGCACATTAAAGACGCGACTGTTAAACCGGCAATGCGATACCACGTTGAATATTTCTAAGGTGCAGCATAAAAAAAGGTTTTAAAGTGTGAGGAATAAATTATGTAACGCTCAAGAGAATTATATATTTATTATATATCAATATGTAAAATACTATACTTATTATACATATAATCGAATAAAGAAATGATAATATAAGCTCTATTCATTTCCGTAAACTTTACTCGCGCATCGCAACGTGATATTTTAATAAAATATATCGCAAAAATAAGCGTTAATAAGTCCGCTCTTGTTATTTCAGATTACACGAACGTGTCCTTACAATACGTGGCCTGAATTTTATAAGCTCTTGTACGCGAGGAAATAAATAAGGTACCTACGTGATTGCGATGAGGGAAAAAGACTAGGGCAAAGCCCAAGATAATTCCTACTATAAGTCCCAGAAGAAAATCTCGAATCCCGCCGGGGATATAGGACCACCATTCTGTTCTCCCGTCATCTAGGAAGACACATGGCTCACTTTATGGAAAACTCTTTATACGTTTTAAGACTTTTTTATATAACTCGCCACCAGCTTGCGATATTCAAAATCATTAATATGTAAATCGTGGAAATTATGAAATATTTACTTAATACTATAATTTATAGACGAAGTGTCGGAATATGACTTATTGAAAATGTATGATTTTCGATAGCAATTTTCACTTCTTTATTGAAATTATAATCTGAATGTAAATTAATATAGAAAAACAATTAATCAATTTTTATCAAAACTCTTATTAATATTTTCTATTTCCTATTAAAAATTTTTAATATTCTCTTTTTATAAAATATTTGTAAATTCTTTCGTTACTACACTGAATTGCAATAGTTAACTTTAAAACTTTAAAGTTTTAAAACAGTTTAAGGAGATCTTAAAAAGGATTAGTCACTATATATATATACACGTATACTACTACTTCAATATCTCACTTACACAGGCCATACACATAAATTTTCATAAAACAATTACGCTTTAAAACAATAATAAATAATAACATTTTAATTACGCGATAAAAAACTATGTGAATGTCAATGTATTATTACGTTTGGTAAATATGCATTTTAAGCGTTATCTCACCGATTTCAATATCCCAAAGATATGTTGTAGATGTTGAAGAAAGTGTCCTGAGTGATTTTCTACAAGAATTAAATGGAGGGCGGCATTGCTTTAGAAGATATAGTAAATTAAAATTCTATAATATGTATTTAGATATGTTGTAGACAACATATCTAAAGCACATTGAAATCGGTGAGACGTTACCTAAAATGCATATTTTAACCTGACGTTTTTCTTACAATTTCTGTATACCGTTGCTAAAAACGAAAGAGAAGCAGATAGAAAACAAAGCCGCAATGTGGACATCGTCAATGGACGCTGCAGTACATAACAAGCTGACGAGTCCTTTGTCTTCTCCATAGCCCTGTTCAGCTAAGGTGAGCATACAGCTGATCATTATTACAGGAGACATGCAGGCCACAATTGATCTTGAAAAGAATTTATTACTATATAAGTTCTTGTATTTTTCTAATAATATAATAATCTGCAATTTGTAATAGAACTCACCCCGTCATGAAAGACCAATTCCATGGGAATTCAAGAAGATATTTACATAAGACAGTGACCGTCAACATCTCGATAGTGCAGGGAACGAGCGATAGGATCATCACAAACACTGGATGCGCCCTCAGAGCGGTCGTCGTCAGCTGTAGGCCGGCACGTACCATGACGAAGGTCAAGCAGAAGGTCCTGATCTTAGAGGTCGTGCCCGGCCCGATCACCTCGTATATATTGTAGACATCGGTATTACGTATTATTATACCAGCAAGTAGCATGCCGAAGATGGGCGGAAGGTTCAAACGAGGAATATAAGCAAGAGTCCAACCAAGCGCGTAAGAAAGAATGATGAGGACGAAAAGGCCAAATATACTGCCACCTGGTAGTACCATGTCGCCCAGCAAGAAATACAAAACGGCCCAGGTCAGGAGGGTCATGCCACTCACAGTTGTCAGCCAAAAGAGATCCGCCCATGTCAACTGTAGCTCGAAACACGTGAAGATCACGTCGGTCACGAGAATTTCTCGTAACATTGGACTGCAGAAAGTTGCGCGGTGACAGCAAGTATTGTCATCATATTCTTCGTCTTCGTCCGCCTCTTTCGCTGTCTGCATCGATCTAAAATGTGTAATTGTATGTATGTATGTTTAATGACTCTATAATTTAGAACATTATCAATATTGCAATAAATAGCACAGAACATTTATGAAATGTTTAAAATATATTTATAAATATTTTATGCTGTCTGGAATGTTTTGAAATTGCACAGCTAAATGGAAATAGTTTTGTTTCGAGCATTGCTGCTAGGATATTGATTATATTAAATACAAAAATATTAGAGTGCTAAAATCTGCATTCAACGTCGATCAAGATTCACTTACTTCTCTCGTATCTGTTTATTATTCGATGCTGGTGCATCTGCGGAAGTGGATGCAATTGGTTCATCTTCAGGAATAGGTTGCATACGATACAATAACGTCCGCTTTATCTACTTGTACCAATACGGCTTATGTGCATCAAATTGGATTGGAGATTGAATCTG